TGTGGACATGGAAAAAAAGAGACATTATTTGGTCTTTTTTTAATTTATATGCTCCACAATGACTGAAATGATTGTGTCCAGGTCCTCTAGTAATTACCCAAGATGACACACCAACATTTATTAAGTGAATGCTTTTACACGTGACTTTCACACAGAGCACCAGATACACGAAAATATAAATAATTAAATACATATATCTCAATGTTCTGTGTTTGGACTTCAGCCCACACAGCCACGTAGCTTGGCGACAGCCTCCTCCTCCAGCATGTGCATGACAACCAGTCCGTCTGGCATGCCCGGACGCACTTGATAACCGGAGAGGATGTGCACCATAATTTCCTACTTCCTGCATTAGCACAGCGGGCTGTCCCGTATGCCATCGATGTTTGGAGGTGGTATACACCCCGTGGTCACAGCGAAAGTGGTTCAACTGAAGCCATTGGTGCCTTAGGAAGTCAAAACCAGGTATCTAGATAGATGGATCACTGATGAGGTCCTTGTTTGGCACATCCATGAATCTCCTTTCCTCACCCCAGGCAGTGCGGGTATCCCGCATATCCAAGTCTTTGGGCTGTGGTAATACCCACACTGGGTGCGAGGACCTCAGGTCGCACGGGTGGAGGCTTGAAGATATCAACGTGAAGGGGCATCTCCGGTGAAGCATGTACCTTGTCCAGCATCTTGGCCACTGCAGTTTGGTGGTACATTTTGGTGGGGGGATGTTGCAAAGTACTGCCAGCCACGGTAGTAGGATTGTCCTAATTGCACCAGAGAGGGTTCTCATGGTGACATTCAGCTGAATGTCTACCAATTTCGTGAGTATTCTGCTACAGAGTAGTCCACAGGGAGAAGCTCGCTGTACGTTGCGACCGGGCACCAGCCCCCCACATTAAGCCAGCCAGCCGGGCCAACAGACAGTTACGTGAGCCTACCGTCTCTCCAGGTGTGGCCAGTACATCAAACTCCCGTCCAATGTCACTCCAAAGAACACTGGCTTTGGGTTAGAATCTGAATATTTCTTTATACTGGAGGAATCCAAAGCGCTATAAAGCGCTTTTAAAATCTCCAATAGTTTCATCACGTGTTTTATCAACTGGCCATTTAGGTGCACTTTGAGCTTGTAGGGGGCTCTGACATTGTGCAGATGAAACACACTGAAAACTGTCTTGCTAGTGCTTGGCTAGAATCGACATGTGCTGCAGTTATCTGCTACCATGGCTAGGTCAATGTTGATGGTGTTTTCCAGGTTGCTAAGGTCACAGGATTTGGTTGTGATGCAGTTATCATCAGTGTAGAAAAATTGTCGATGTAAATGTTGAAAAGTGTTGGGGCAAAAACAGAATCCCGAGACAGTCCATTCTTTTGCAGCTGACCTTGTTGTTCATGTACACTTGGAAGCAACGATTTTTGAGAAGTTACAGCTTAGCAGCAGTTCAGAGTGCCAGACTGTATCGTGCTGCTGTAAGGTCCAGGAACACTGCACCTATTTCTGCCACTCGTGGCGTACATGACGTTCATGTACCTTGGCCCGGCTGGTTTTGGTGACCTGCACTAGGTAACTCGCAGCTTCATTTGGTGTAACCGGGAGACGGTTGCGTGCTGGAGGTCGCTGGATGGCACTGAATTTATGGACAGGTTGCTCAGGCTCTTCCGCTTGATTTACAGAAGTCTGCATTGGCGACTAGTTCCTTCCAAGGGGCACGCCACACAATGTCAAGGCTGTCAATCAGATGAGTTTACCTCCGGGTCACCAGACTGCTCATATTTTCCAAGTAGCTCGGCACACTCAGCATCAAGGCAGGGGGTATAGATGGAATAAACACCACGTGGTATGGTCTTTGTGGCTGCTTTTATCAGTGCTCCCATAAAGCACGAGGGTGCTACACCTATTGAGATGGTTCTCAGGATAAAGACAATGCCACACTCAATCGCTGAAGTGTAGTCTGTCCACTGCGTCTTGTGAAAGTTCCATGGTTTTAAGGTGCTCGTGATGATGGGTAGCTGTAAGTCCGATGTCGAGTAATGATGGGCAGTGCCGACTCCGGGGGAAGTTGTTCAGAACAGTGCATGACACTGGCATTTGATTGCCACGAGCTGCACTGATCCAGCAGAGGTTCAGTGAATATTCACGATTCTACCTGGCTAAGCGGAAAGGTGCCTCACCGTTTGGAGTGGTGCACCAGGTTAATATCACACTGTGATGCCCACTCTACAAGGTTCTCTGTATGGTAGCTGTCAAAATCTCCGGCATACATTGCTGGATGGTGAAAGTTGGGTAGGTTGTCTGGTACACCCCACGAGTAATTTTGTGGTTTGTATACACTACAGACTGTAGAAACGCCGATGCGTACAGCATCGAAGACAACAGAGGGTGGCAGCGGCTCGACGTCAACCAGGTCATATGTCACATACGTTGCACGGCCATATTTTGAATGAAGTGAATAAAAGATATATCCATGTCCAGGTATCTGGAAATGCCCTTCCTGGTCAATTAAAATATGGATCTCCTGTAGATTGTCGATATTGTGTGAACTGGGTAATTCATAAAATACATCACATTTAGCCGCAAGATAGTCCTTTCACATTGGGCTGAAGAACACGGAGCGCTGGCTCCATTGCCCTGAAACATGAGGCTGTTGGCAAAGGTGTAAATGTCGTCATGTGTTGGCCAGGATCATGATGATTCGTCCAGCTAGCTGTAGCTTTGGTTACTCTGGACATAGCTGGGTACAGGCAGTCCTCAACTTATGAACACCCAACTTACGAACATCCGCACTTACAAACCAGCTTCCATGAGATATCGATTTTCAAACTCGTACTTCTGAATGAACTGCATAACTATTTTGTTCAACAAAGCTATCCTTCGCAAAGTAATCACTCACATCAGCCCGCTGAGAGTGGTTGTGTGTCAAAGTGAGCATGTGTGTGTGCACATGCCCTCGTGTGTGTGTGGGGAGTGGTAATGTAACGCTTCGCGTGTTGCGCGACAAACCCGGCAAACCGAGTACATTTCCACTCATGACCAACACCAGTGATGATTATCTGAATGGGTTCTGAGCCTCCACTAGGTCGATTCGGCCTCAAATGAGTACCTGGTGCAGTATGTAAACATCGCCACTGGGAAGACACAGGCAGCCAGCCGTAATTCTGACCACCCACCGCATCGTGTGCTGTGCCGGCTTCATAGGTACTCGCTAACATCACTTGCCACAACAGTCTATTAAGGCTATACAGGAGATATTTGTCTTGAGTGCGTGCATGCCTCCGTGTGTGTGCACGCAATTGTGGGGACTCATTACGCCCTTCCGACAAACAAGCCAGCATTAGGACCCAAGGTAAGTGAAAATAAAACCGATTTTTTTTCCTATTCATATTACTTTATTTTATTTTTATTTACTAACCAGTATTTATTACAGCATTACATGCAAATGTACAATGTTGATTAATTATGAGTTTAACAATCCTTCCCTTTTTTGTTGAACCGTAACACTGACTGTATGGGCATTTAAATACAGTACATGATCGTGTTTCGACTAACGAACCGCTCGACTTACGAACGGGTATGAGAACGGAACCAGGTCGTAAGTCGATGATTTGACCGTACTTGCAGGAGACACGACAAGGATGTGGCTGCATGTCCACATCCTTGCTCACCGACATATAGCACATCTACAAATTAGCTCCCAATACCAAGGGCAATGTGAACCACTCATCTGCACTTTTAAGAGTGTAGTAGTCTACAAACTGTGTCAGGAGGAAACCTTTTATGTCATGCCATGGCCCATGACGTATTCCCCAATGTGCTGTGTTCTACTATCATGCAGTATATAGAAGTCTCCTTCCACTAATTGTCTTTTTTATATTTTAGCACACAAAATGTGGAATACAATCTAACATTCTCCGAAGACTAAAATAATTTGCATAAAAAGTTTTATTAGGATTAAATGTAAAAATAACAAAATTCAGAAATGATGCTTTCCATGTACGATTTATGCCTTCCTGTGCAATATTTTCTTCCAGTGCAATGTTTAGTTTACCACACACGTAAAAATACAGTGCTACACTCATTTGCTATCATAGTGTCTTCATTAAGTTTTATACGAGCACGTAAGAGAAGAGTCTCAAGGCACAGCTCAAACAATGAGCACATTCGTGATGTGCTTTCATTCCAATTGGGTCCCTCTTGTAAACCGAGTCGACACTCCATGAGTAAACACACGGCTATTATGAATTATGTTAAAAGATCTGGGTAAAACAGAGGCATGGGAATAATTTTGTGGTGGCGTGGGAGCACTAGGCGCCATGGGAGACCATGTCAAATAAGACAAGGGGGGGGGGGGCAAATGTCAAGTAGTTTTGGGGCCTAAAAAGGGCTAATTGCCAATGATCAAATCACCAAGAATGCACCAAATCTCAGGAGCTAACCAGAACTTGAGCAAGGAGAGTGTTTTGATGGCCGACCACCATGTACAACCAGGTTAAAACATAGATGTGCAGGGGGCCTACCCGTGTGGGCAGCGGACAGCAATGCAGCAAAATCAATTGATGTGATGTACTGTACTTTTGCGACCTCACATCTATGACGCTTCCCTTTAGCAAATCCGTAATGACTAACGTGGTCCGGTCCAGTAAATTAACACCCACGACCCACTCGGCGTGGGGAAGTACATTTCCATAAGTAAATTCACAAATGGGGCCATGCATACATGTACAAAACGGCTAATGACGTGGCACATCACATGGCTTCCACTCCCACTCCCCCTCTGTCCCAAAGTTGGGCAAATAAGCAGAACCTCGTTCTGTATCTCCTCATATAAATCCAAAATATTTTAGTCCATCTGCCAGAACCAATATTATCCATCAGCATATTTGAGCAACTCATTTCTGGCCTGGTTTCGATCGCTACAAAAGTTAGGGTGACAGGTACCAAAACCCATGGGGGCCCGCCCGTGTTCCAAGACGCACGGGACAAAACATTAAAGAAGGCAGAGAGTACTCACGGAGGCCCTTGGGCGAGTCAGGACACGGCTCCAAAGGTGTCTTGCCAGGGCCCATGGGCCCAGCAGCTCCCTCTGAGAAAGCGGCCCCCACGCTTGCCGTTCGAGGCCAGGGTCTCCCGACCACCGCCACTCCTTGGCGCCCATACAGCGGCACCAGCGGCCGGTACGTTGGCCACGCCGGCTCGCCGCAGGGCGTGCATGGTGTGAGTGTGCACGTCCAGGTAGAGCGCCAGCATGATGAAGAAGTGCAGGGCACACAGGGCCACGACCAGCTTACTGGCCAACTCCAGGGCCCTCCCCAGCGACATGTTGTGGCCCCACATCTTAATAGCATGAAACTGTGCGCCTTCTCGTCTTCCAGGAAGTCAATGGCGAATACAGGGTTTTTATGAATACCGCGTAAGTTGCGTAACTGTTCGCGGGTTGCCTACCGATGATTCCTGATGGTGTGTAACTTGTGACGTTTGGAATTTACGCACGACTGTATTGCAGGCTACTTAACATTAAAGTCAAACCGCTGATGCCAGAAGTTGGACTTGTAATACGTTTAAATAAAGACCAATGGAATTACTATCTATAGTTTCTGCCTATAGAGAGTATTACACCTACCTTTAACAAGTTGTATTAAGACATACAAAGCTCATTGGGAGTGGTTACTAGCCTTAATACAACCGTGAACCTACACTGCTGAATTATATACATACAATATGCGTTACATTACGAAACGGCACAGTTTTAAATACAACCCCACTTAGCACAAATGTCGGACTTAGAATCTTATTTGTCAATAGTATTTGTTTACCAACACAATTGTAGCAGATGTTAGTAACCAGACACTGTTCTTGCATAGACGCTTACCTTTAACCTACTGGTACTCGGAACTATATAAATCCCAGGACTAATCATTAATATAATTGCACAAGCAACACTTAAAACAAGGCGAACACGTCACACTCAGGGCTACTCTTACCACGAGTCTCCACTGCCACGGGCGACGATTAATAACGCGCCGTTGTTAGTAGTTACGATTCTTAAACTGGTACAACTATATACATATAGCTTCGTTCAAAACGACAGCTTCTAACACGCATTAAATATGCGACTGTACACAATCTCTATACCCTACGACGCATACAGTACAAAGCGCGGTTGCTGTTTAAAACCCACAGATATATTTAAAAAAAGAAACAGAGGCAACGGTATGTCCCTACACTAGTTAAGATGTAAATAAGCTTCGTTATTATGTTATATGGTTGCTAGGTTATGTATTTTAAGACAAACCCCCAACCCCCTCCACGATTAACAACACTATAAATTCTACAATGCACAATGGCTTACTTTACTGCTTTGAATAATACACTGTACACCACGTACTGTACTGAGAATTACCGAAACAAAATGTTACGTTTTCGACATTGTACTTACGTATAAAACCTTAAACACAGTAAGTAGTTACACAATGAAGACGGGTGTAGATATAAACAGCGTAAAAATGAAAAAAAAAATTAAGAGCGCATTTGTTTTTTTTTGTACGCTACGCAATATTTACACGTCAAACTGCGAGATAACAATTTACACGAATCGACGGCTGGGTACAAGTATCTTTAATTTTAACAAGAGGTTACAATAACGAACTGCGAAGCCTTGTCCGGTAGGCCCCAGCTCAGCGCAAGACGATGCCCCGTTAATTTATCCACGTCTGAAATAAAAATAAAATAAATAATAATTTTTAACCAATGACCGATGACACCGCATACCGTTACTTGCGACCACCACCACCGCCCCCCCCCTCCCCCTCTAACAAAAAAAACGTTAGATTTAATAAAAAAAATTACACCTTTTATAAATGTCTCACGACGTAAGAACGCTGGACGAGATGGCGACGAAATAATAAAAAGGATTCTGAGAAATGAACACGAGGCAAAATTAAGAGCGCGTTTTGAACGTTGTCCAGGGAGCACTCGTTGCAGTACGTGGGGAGCGTCTCATTGCATAACCAGCGCTAACCAACCAACACACACACGCGCGCAGTGCAGCGCACACACAACCAAACACTGTTGCAACTGAAGCTAAAACAAAATAGCCGTCGATATACGCCCACAATAGCCCGTTGAAAAAGTACACGGAAGCCATGCACAACCTCCCCCCAACCCCCCCTATGACCTGGCGAGTTGGAAGCGTCCCAGTTAGCTTTGCACGCTTTGCTGCTTGGACTCCACCACATTAATTGACTACGGGGGGGGGGGGGGTGTGGTGAGGAGGGGGTTATGGGCTTGGGCCGGCCCTGCGTGACGTGGAAGGCGGATTGACATGGGGCCGATTCGAATTGGTCGGGTTGTGCGATAATTACAAAGGGGCATTGGAGAGCATTTGCATGTGTGTGTGTGGCTTAAAGGGGCCGTCCATAAATGACGTCACGCGATTTTGGACGATTTCCCCCCCCCCCCTTCGTCACACGGCGTCACAAAAGTCAGACCCCCCCCTTCAAATATGACGTCACAAAGTTCTGCCCCCCCCCCCAAAACCATATTTACATTTTGAAAATAAAATATGCTTCAAATCTCTTTAAACTATTGTCATTGTAGTTGCGTATTTAATGTGGCGCTGCACTCTGATGTTGTAGGAGAAAACATTTATTTAAAAAAAGTCTATTTAATTAAGTAGAACGTGTTGTCTATATTTATTTAAAGTTGCGCTTTTCGATGTGACGTCACATTTCTCACCCCCCCCCCTCGTCACACATCGTCACAAATGTCTGACCCCCTCCCCCCACTAGGTGCGTGACGTCATTTATGGGCGGCCCCTAAAACCGGGGGAAAACCAGGTTTACGAACCATGGGGCAATATATCTCACCAACAGCTCAAACACATTCGTCAATAGCACTTAACTTAAAATAAAACATTATATACAATAGGCGACGTTTCGGGCAATGATCCTTTCTTCATGCATGACAGGCCGGAGATATAGTGTATTCGAGTCGGAGACTGCACTATGCACCATGGGGTATGAATATAATTAAATTTAAAACATGTTTCCCGATCACGTGTTTAAACGGAGTATGAACCTTTTCATAGCTAACGAGTATCAGACAAATCCTTTTAAAGGCAAAACCGTATTAGTACAAACTCATTTGTATTACACGGAGAATTATAAAATGTTGCAAATAAGGCAAGAACTACTGCTGGGAGGTAAATGAAACCATACGGTTTTTCCACTTTACATTCCCAATTCTCTTTTCAATGCGATTAGAGACGTGCTTCAGACACATCGTGATCAAAGGGACTTGCAAATGTTATACATTTATGAACGCACTTATGGAGGAAGATTGTTTTTGTTTAACGTGTATTCTATCCCTGGGTGAGTGGGTGGATCTGCAATTCACCACTAACTCTCCGACAAAACAAATCGCTAAATCACTTGGAACTGAATTTCTAATCGCTTCTCTATATTGGCCATATGAAATCATAATTCCTGTGGGTCAAATTTCAACATTATTCATATCAACATCCTTAATAAACGTCGAAATCACCCTCAGCACAACAAACATCAACATCCACAGCATCAATGGTATAATTACCATCAAATACAAAGATCGCCCATATAGCCTTAACAGACTGTTAGGACAAGTGCTGTTAGCGAGCACTTATGAAGGCCGGCAAGGCACACGAGGAGGTAGATGGCCAACAACCACGCCCGGCCGCCTTTGTATCCCCAGTCGCGATGTTTACACACAACTACTTACGCGATAATTAACTAAACCATCTTCATCTCAAATATTAATCATCTCACCACCCACCGTCACCACCAGACATCCAATGTCCATCTTCAAAAGTCTACTCATACCTGTCTTCAACATCACCACCTTCATTATGGATAGCCTCACTACTGCAATCATCTTTAATAATTTCCTCACCGACCCATGAAAAGTCAAGCTGACCACTGAGGTCGAGGGAGGCTCTAATTGCTATACGCGGTGTATTTACGCAAATAGTTTTTAAATCTTGCCGGCAACTTCCCCAATCGATTAATACAGTATGATAAATACACGACGGTATTTATGAACGGAGAACGTGGATTGAATCAGCCAACGAAACCCTAAAATATATAGCTTACCAATGGAAAAAATAATCATGCTGGATCAATTAAAAATCAATGTCATTGAAAAAACGTAAAAAAAATAAGAGTACTAGAATTAGCCACTTGTATTACATTTTTGCCAAAATAAATATACTTCTGTGTGTATAAAATGTTAATAAAATATATATTTTTTTATTAAAGGGGGTGCCACCCCTGCAGCCCAAACAGACCAGATGGAATTAACTTCAAACCACCTCTTTCTCCGGGCCTACCTCTCGGGTTATGCCCTGGTGCTTCCATATTCATCACCTTTTTCATCTATGTGGTTTACCTTTCTGTTTACGGTGTCCTAGGCATCGGAGTCAGACTTTAATCTTGTCTCAGATGGGTACCATTTTTGGCATCATCTTCGTTCCAAAACTGATCCAGTCTGTGATCCAAGAGATCCACATCACCATCTAACTACTGTAACCACTATTAACAAGCGTGTGCGTGGTTTAGACGTTGAATATCAAGTAATGAGAAACGGCACGGCTTGCATGTTGAGACCTTGGACTCTAAACCAGATATCAGGCACCTGTAAAAAAAACCTCGACTATCAGGATTAGCAAGTTAATAATCTCATGACTGCATAAAAAACCCGATCATAAAATGTATTTTAACTAGATCTGGCTAAAATCCAGTAATTCAAATTTTGGCTTTACACATTACATAATATATATGCGACACTTCATATGGTAAAGTTTACGCCCTGATGTGTAAATATAAAAAGGCAAATGTAAGGCTATTTCTGCCAATGTTGGGACTCACAGGGTCGCACTGTTCTGTAGACCAAACAATACGTAAAGAAAAAAGACATAAAATGCTAGGAAAAAAATTGGAACATACTAAAATTTGTCCCTTTTTTCATTTATATAAGTTGAAAAACTTCAAATTTTCCAAATGGTATTGTTGTTTTTTACAGCCCACTGCCATTCGTGTCCATAAAAGGGTATGCACTTTCATAGCAGTATTCCTGATTGCACATGTAAAGCGCTTTGGTCTATCCATTGCTGGATGTGGACCTCCCCAAGGTGTGTGGGGATATTTAACAATACTTCACCATGCTAGCCCCACCACCTACAACACCTGTTAGGCATGGTGGATGCCCATCCAAGCACTTTTTTGTTTAGCCTCCCAAATCTGGTTAATTTGGTCCTACGCTTTTTTGATAAATAGCCTCATATTTAAAAATGGTTACACGTAGCTAAATCCCCCTTCTTATTTCTTCATGAGTTTTATGCTCTCGAGCACACCTTTGACCTAATCTTCATCCATCCCACCCGATCCCATGCCTCCATCCTGTTACCTTAACCATTGTGTCTTTATGTGATGCTACGGCATCATACAGTCAATGTTACAGCTGCTATGATAAACTGCACACGTTGTGGTCAGGATACAGGTCTGCATTATGTTTATTTTTTTTAATTGACCAACGTTAGTAATAGGTTTATACAGTGCCGGATTATCCTAGTAGCAAAAGTAGCTACATATGCTAAAGGTTTTTGGGTTAGATCGCGTCAGTATCAATGCGTAAACCTCCACCACCCGACACAGCTGGTAAGGTTTGCCACGTGAACAACGCGCCAATTAATTCAGCCCACCGGTGTGTTGGAGAGTAAATCCACAAATTGTAAATGTTGTGGATTTACACAAATTGTAAATTTGTAATCAAGTGTAGTTTTTAAATCGAATTTTGGGATACATGTTTTCAAGCAACATGATGTGAAGCAAGCTATACAACTCTGAATACGTCCAGAATACACATCTCATTTGAGACCCAAACATTACAACTCCTGGCTTTCACAATCCTTCCTCGAAGACACTTTTGTAGGCTGCTGTCCACATCTCCTTCAAAATGGAAAATTTGAGACAAGCCTCAGTCTTGCAATCATGGCCAACGGAGGAGTAATAGCAGGAGCAACAGCACACCTAAACCAACCTCTCTCCCGAAACCCTCTTATTGTAGCTAGCAGACGTTGACATTGGCATTTAGTTCCTGAACATATTACCATACGCAAGAAAATAATACAATAACAGGTCCCTGCAGGGTGGGCTGGTAGGACAAGTCTCTGCGCTGTCTATTGCTGATTTTACACCCAACAGCACGAGATTTCACTTCGTTAAAGTATTGAAAGGGGAGGGACGGACGGACACATTAATCTATTGCAGGCTGGTACACTCAGTTTACAACTTCGTTCCTACCAGTATAAGGCCTTGAATCATGGACAACCATTCAAACATTCTTGGATTCGTGTGAAAGCAAACAGCTGCGGTGAATATTACAGACTTTATACAAACACAGACGCACACACTACCATCAGGCAACTGAGTCTAAGTAAGCAACCACAGATGAGGAGTGTCATCAGGAAGAGAAGCATGACGTGGGCTTAGCATGTATTAAGGACGGCACATAGACTGGCAAAGTTAATATACAAGTGGAATCCATCCGGCAGAAGACCATGCGATTTTCGACCAAATACAGATAGATATGAGCTTGAGAGACTGGCTGGAGAACACGGGGTAACAACCTGGAGAAACTGGTTGGGTCACTGGGAGCGAGCAACTAATCACAGAGTGATGGAGGAGTGTGACTGGCATCAGTTTCCACACTCCTCCGATGACGATCACATAACCTGCCGTGACAAGTAAATATTCAATGCATCTGCTTACTCAAACTTAGTCACCAAGTAACAATAGATATAACTATAATACATCATTGATGTGCATCACTCTTTTGATATGTGCGAGTCAAGGCAAAATAGTTTTCTCAATGTGGCTTTGTTTGTGTAGGCCGCCAGCTTTTTAACTACAAATATAATTTGGTTTCCAACTACCATTGAAGTATCTTTTTGTTTATGTACACAATACAGGACTGCATACCTGAGTGTTTTTATTCAGCTCGAGGGCTCAAATTACCCGGCTTTGTTAGAAATGTAATCAGGACTGTGAAGAAATAACATCGCAAAAGACACCCTGCCCAAAGGGGAAATCATTCTCATCATTCT